AAATTAGAATTTATATTTGAATCAATAAAAAAAGAATTCTAGTGTACGGAACGCGCCATGCATCATGAGCAGCAGTTCTATGCTGATAAGAAACATAATTTTAATTCGAATGGCCATACAAATATGAACGCAGAATCTTCCTCTAATTTGAACAGTGGTAGGAGCAATCTTGCTTTCACCAACGATGCTTCTATTGACGAACATACAATAGTACTTCCACTCAACTCCTCGAATGGTACTAGAAGGTAAGCAATATGTTTCAGTACTGTTTTTATACTGTGTCCAAGAACGTCTGTTCTAATATTATTGCTCAAAAGAGAAAAAAATCTTGAAATTTATGAAACAATTATGTTTCAATTAGCAAAGAAAATGTTATTGTAGACACAAAATTTTTGATCATTTTTGATCTTGAAATACTCAAACTTTTTTGGCCACTGATGTCTTTTGTATTTTCCATGTGAAAGAAGCCTACTTTGTTAAGCATGAAAACTTTTTACTTTTTTATTAGTGATCGAACTCATTCATGGAATAAGATTTTTCCATAATAGTTCAAAGAAACTTTAATCTTAAGAAGAAATAAAGCATTTTAATCCATGTGGGTGTGGATGTGAGGGCGTTGAGTAGAATAGAGACATCCACACCCACACCCGACGTAGTTGCTTTTTCATTGATGAATCCAATACGGTATTCAATTGGTGCATTAAAGTTAAGTCATCTCTTGAGGATGACTTAAGTCTGTTTTAAATTCTAGTACAACCACGTTTCTTAATTCGACATTGACTTTCATAGTGTGAATCAAGTCTAAAGACTTCATCTCTGTACTTGGTGTTTTTACGTAGCAATATAAATCAGATTTCTTATATTTCGGGGAGGGGCTCAACGTTTTGTTGAGGATGGGGCTGAGTCCTCTGGTTATGCCACTACGCACAGTGTGAATGGGGTCTATGAAGTATCATTTATCTTACTTGAATATTAATCTAATAATATTTTCGAAGAGAAAACACTAGAATGCGTAGATAAAATATTCCCATGTATTTTTCTTTGTTTGAAGAAAGCAGTCAACAACATCTGAAACAGTACAGAACGAAACAAAGGAACCTTCTCCACCAAAATTAAAACCTTTCCAAATTGTAAGTATCAAATGATACTTGTAGATGTCCAATAAGAACCGAAAACTTCGAATGTTTAGTTTCGTTTTGCCGACAAATGGGATATAATCATGATGATTATAGGATTATTGGGCGGTAGGAAAAAGTGATATTTTATTCAGAAAATTTCTATACATAATTTTTTCTTGCGTTTGTAGCAATCGCTAGTGGTGCATCATATCCATTGATCCTTCTCATTTATCAAAGCGTAGTTGATTCGTTTGTTGCTATCGGTCGAAATCAAACGGGCTTTGAACCAACAGGAAATGTCGGATTAGGCTGGTAAGTTGGGTCCTAAATTTGTTTTGTTTTGTTTAAAAGAAAATATCTATTGTTAATTTTAGTCGTAACAAAACATCATCATCAAACGATGCTAATCTGTCACCTTACGACAATATAATATCGACTATTAAATGGTATGCGATATTGGGCATCTGTTGTTTTGTTCTTTTATACATTGCTTTTAACTGTTGGATTATAACAGCTGAACGTCAAGTTCGAAAAATGAGGTAAACATCTTTCAAGTTTTAAATAAAATGAAAAAAAAAATTGTCTTTTTATCTTTAATATAGATATGCATTAATGACAAACATTATGCGACAAGATATTGGTTGGTTTGATCGTCGATTGCCAAGCGATCTTTCTGTTGGTCTACTCGTGGAGTAAGTCATGCATTTTTTAGAAAAAATTAAAATTCCTTCCATATTTTATGAAAAAGAATACGAACTAGAATAAATAAATATATATTTACTTTAAAGTAGCTGAATGTAAATGCTTAACGGAATATACATACATAAGAATTAACCAGAGATGTCTATTACAGCTGAAAACCTTCTACTAACCCACCGTGTTTATTGTTTAAAAAGCTATTCCTGCTACTGCCATCGCGGCGGAAATGGCAGTATCATGAGCATCTCTGTTATTTTCAAGACACAATAGTTTAGTCGAAAGATAAGAGATTTTTCACATGTGTCTGCAAAAATATTTATCAAAAATAGAAGAAATCTGCTTCTTAGTTTTTGAATAAAAGATTTCCTTGTTAGAAATTCTTCTGTTATTTGTATTTTAGTGCGCTTGATAATATACGTGATGGTATTGGTTACCAAGTGGCGGATTGTACGGCGCTTCTTGCTCGTATCTTCGGTTGCTTAGCATATTCAATATCAGTTGGTTGGAAACTTTCCTTGGTTTTCTTAAGTATTTCTCCACTGATTATTATCACATTTAATGTTACAGTTGGTGTAAGTTCACTATTAGAGTATTTTATCACTTTTCTATATCTTTCTCGACTGTATTTCTAAAGACATTTCGTAATTTTTTCTGACTTTGAATCTTTCAAGAAAATGGAGTGAAACATTGAGGAAAGGTTCCAGAAATGTGTAGCATCTGATATCTAGTTTAATGCTTTTATGAAGTCATCAAACTCTTCTCTAAATCTCTTGTAAAGGAACAATCTAAACTTTGAACAAAATGGATTCCTAAGTTAAATCATAGCAAAAAAGAATTGTATTTTTTAAACTTTCTATTTCAATACAAGCCTTATCTGCTTAGTTAATCGATTACTATTTATTAACATAGGTTATGAAAAAGTTTACAATCATCGAAGGCAATGCTTATACAAAAGCCAATGCAATTGTCGACGAAGTCTTCTCAGCTATTCGTACGGTAACTGCTTTTGGAGGTCAAAAACATGAACGTGCTAGGTCAGAAAAAAAAACGTTTATTTTCAACCTTATTCAACTCTTTCTACGATCATGTTAATAGATACGAGCAAAGTTTAACAGATGCCAAGAACGCCGGCTTAAAAAAAGGTCTTTTTCTTGGTATCAGCCAAGCATTTGTCAACATCACTTTGTATGGTGCAATTGCTCTTATCTTTTGGTATGGGCCATATTTAGCCCGCGTTGAATGTTGGAACTATGATGCCGGTGTTGTCATCATTGTATGTTTTTGCTTGTATCTTTTTTTTTTTACTATAAATTATTTTCATTTTCATACTTAAGGTTTTCACCGCATGCCTTTTTGCGACTCACAGCATATCAATGTTCATTCCATATTTACTCGCTTTCATCGAAGCTGCAACTTCAGGAGCAAAAGTATTTGCCATTATTGACCTAGTATGTAGAAATAACAATAAAAATAGACTGAACATTAATAGGACACGAAACATGTTGAATGCATCATTTTTTATCTTAGTTCTATTTATCTCATGAATTATCCAGAAGTGTGATGATTTCGTTTTCTTGTTATGCTTATTCAATTAAAAACATGAGATTATATTGAAGGTTGAAAGATATAATTTACCGAGCTAGACGGAAAAAAATTGAAGGTATTTCATTTATTTTTGTTTCATATCTACAGATATTAGAAAATTTAATGGTGATGAGTCTTTTGTAAATAGATCATTTCTCTAGAAAATCAATAACAGTATGACATTATTCACAATTACTTCGTCACAACATTTGATCAAATTTTCATTTATAGATATCGCCAATCGATTATACCAATTCTATGGGATTTCAACCACCAGTGGTTCGAGGTGACATTGAATTTCGTAATGTCACATTTAATTATCCGTCAAGAAAAGAAAAACAACCAGTATGTTATTTGTTCTTTCCATTTTAACTATTTAGAATTCCTCTTACTAAAAAAAAACGAAAATGATATAAAAATTAATTAAGCATTCTTGAAAACAACTTTTGAGAGAACTCGATATCTATTTTCGATTTTTTTGTTTGAATCATTTTTCGTCAATAGATTCTCAATAATTTGAGCTTACGTTTTGCTGCGGGAAAAACAACGGCAATTGTCGGTGAAACTGGTTGTGGCAGTAAGTATTTACAATACGAATGGTACTTCGATGTTATGATATGTGTAATATGAATCTTTAGAAAGCACAGTTATTCAACTAATACAACGCTTTTATGATTCTGAACAGGGACAAGTAAGTTTATCAATATTTAAATATTATATCAATAATGTTATACCATCTGTTTAATTAGATTCTACTTGATAATGTTGATATTCGTCATGTAAATCTACACTGGCTTCGATCAAAGATATCTGTTGTTTCTCAAGAACCTGTTCTTTTTACTGATACAGTTGCTGAAAATATTCGATTTGGTAATATGTCAGCCACTAGTGAAGAAATTCGAGCTGCTGCACGAATAGCCAATATTCACAACTTTATCGAAGATTTACCAGAAGTATAAAAATACTATAGTTTTTTTTTGTATCTAGATGTATATTCATTTTTGACATTCAGGGTTATAATACACTAGTACAAGGATCACGCTTGGCAGGTGGACAAAAACAAAGGTATATTTATTCTAAAATGATGTTTTCCAAGCTAATTAAAACTCGATTTCTATTAAGAATTGCTATTGCACGAGCAGTATTATCGAACCCAAAAATATTACTTTTGGATGAAGCAACTTCTGCATTAGGTATTGAAACATGTTATTGTATTGAAGATGAAACGAATATTTCAGTAAAACACTATGTTGTTCAAATAAGTATCGAAGCATTAATTGAGTTATCTTGAGAAACATCTTTTTTTTTTCTAATAAACTTCATGAATAATAAGAAAGCGATAGTCCATCTCGAGGGTTCCATTCCAAAGCTAGATGTAATTTAACCAGATGCGGAAATAATTGTCTGTTACTCATACATTTATTGCATAGTTAACATATCAGAGTTGTTCATGTTTGTCAGGAACTATAAAATTCAAGATATCATGTCATTTTTCTCTTAGATGCAAAGAATGAACGTGAGGTACAAATTGCCCTTGAACAAGCTTCTAAAGGTCGAACAACAATTGTCGTTGCTCATCGGTTAACAACAATCCGTCATGCAGATATTATTATCGGTCTCAAAGCAGGTCAAATCGAGGAGCAAGGAACTCATGCTGAATTAATGAAACGAGGTGGTCAATATGCACAATCATTCAAACTTCAACGAATAATGGATCCTCATGACGAAGATGCCGAAGACGAAAATAATGACAAACATGAACCTGGTATGTTACATAACAGAATTTGAGAAAAGACTTACCTTGCTAGTAATTGAAATAATGAATAAAGCGTAGGTTCGATATACGTTCCGATTTTAATAATGTTTTCGAATACAAAAAAAAGAATTTTATTGAGTGGTATCATTTCAATCATCTGTAGCTTGATTCGAATAGATTAAAATAAGTAAAAATTCGTTTTTTAAAATTGCATAAAGAATATAATAAATCATGTAAAAAGACTTAATCATTTAGATACAGTAGAGTTTTAATGTGAGAAAGTCTCTTTTATGAAAAAGACATTGGAGAGCTAGAAAGTTTGACTCCAAATTATTTTCTTGTTAAAATTTTATTTTACCATACAGAGATTTTTATTTGTATTTATATCAAAGAAATATTCGTCAAAAATGACAAGTTTAGAATCTTAAAAAAAACTCTCTATAATCTGTGCCCATGAAGATGTGACGTAATGATTTGGTAACATATTTCACTGTTAAAGAATTTTTTTCTTCTTATTAACACATTGGGCACGATGTGGCCCACCGGTGGGCCACGCTATGGT